TCTGTCTGTCTGTGTCTCTGTCTGTCTGTCTCTGTCTGTGTCTCTGTCTGTCTGTCTGTCTGTCTGTTTGTTTTTCTCTCTTTCTCTCAGTCTAAGTATCTTTCAGTCTCAGTCTCTCTCTCAGTCTCAGTCTCTCTCTCAGTCTCAGTCTCTCTCAGTCTCAGTCTCTCTCAGTCTCAGTCTCTCTCAGTCTCAGGTCTCTCAGTCTCAGACTCTCTCAGTCTCAGTCTCTCTCAGTCTCAGTCTCTCTCAGTCTCAGTCTCTCAGTCTCAGTCTCTCTCAGTCTCAGTCTCTCTCAGTCTCAGTCTCTCTCAGTCTCAGGTCTCTCAGTCTCAGTCTCTCTCAGTCTCAGTCTCTCTCAGTCTCAGTCTCTCTCAGTCTCAGTCTCTCTCAGTCTCAGTCTCTCTCAGTCTCAGGTCTCTCAGTCACCTCTCTCTTTCTACTATAGGTTCTTAGAAAGGAAACCAGGGTCTAAAGCCCTATTTCTTAGATAGGAAACCAGGGTCCAAAGTAGAATCCAATTTGGGTGGTGGGGTGATGTTGTTGTTCCTGCCAGGTTCCCCCTCCCATCGACTTCAAGGCCATTCAGCCGCTATGCCCCCGAAACCCTACCGCTCTCCCCCTTCCCCATAACTTGATATCAAACTGTACCAAATTCCAGGAAATATTATTACGCTCCTTTTCCCGTAACGGAGAGAACCCGGGTTCGATTCCCAGGTCAGAACGAAACGTTGGGCGAGTTTCCTTCCTCCACCCACACACACACACACACACACACACCCACACACACACACACACACACACACCCACGCGCCTCTGGTTACCGGCGGTCAGTAGGAACCCGGTTGTTAGTCGATTGGCGGATGGCTTTTCCGGGGGTGATAATCCCATCAGAATTAATAAAAATAATTTGGTCACTCAATCCATGATTGTTTGTGGGGGCGTCGCTGTGTGCAATTGGCCGCCGCGTTTCGCCCACAAAAAGTCACTACACTTTACAATGTATCCCGCTTTGAAGACGTGATCAGGCGCTGTGTCAAACGCAATATTATTAATAATGTAATAATATATAATTATTATTTTGTGGGCGGAACGTGGGTTGAGTCCTCAGTGTCCCGGTCTCGTTCCTTGTTCCTGTCGTTAATTACCCTCTGAAGACACACTCTAATCGTTGTAACCTGTGTTCTTCTCTTCCCCCCTATTCTCCCTCTCTCCTCCCTCTTTCTCTCCCTCTCACCCTCTCTCTCCCCTCCCATCCCTCTCACACACTCACTCTGTCTCCTCTGCCCTCTCTCACTCCTCTGCCCCCCACTCCCACACTCCCTCTCTCTCTCCCCCTTTCTCTCTGTCGCCTTTCTCTCTCTCTCCCCCACTCTTCTCCCTCCCCCCACTCTCTCTCACACACACATTTCCCCCCCACTCCCTTTCCCCCTCTCTCTCACACACTCCCCCTTTCTCCCTCTCTCTCCCCCCTTCTCCCTCCCTCTCTCTCTCCCCTATCTCCCCCTCTTCTCCCTCTCACACTCTCTCACTCCCTCTCTCTCCCATACTTTACCCCTCTCTTCCCTCTCCGTCTCACACACCCACTCTCTCGCTCCCCCCAACCCCCCCCCATCTCCTTCTCACACTCTCTCACTCCCCCCCCCCTCTCGCTCTCTCCACAGGGATATAAAGTGTGGACTACTGAGCTGCAAAGGTGGGGATACAAGTCCCTCCTTTGCCACGAGATACGGTTCGATCGGCCCCTGCAAATTAATAATGGGAGCTGACAACACGAACAAAAACCCGGGTCTGGTACAGAACGGGATTAAATGTGGAGAGAACAAGGTAGTGTTTCCATCACGCTCCCCCAACACCCCACCCACCCCCGAAAAAATCTCCCCCTCCACCCTGACAATCTCCCTTCCCCCTGAAAACCTTTTCCCTCCCCTGAAAATCTGTTCGTTCCTCCCGATAAAATCTCTCCTCTCCCCCTAAAAGAAAATCCCCCTCCCGGAAAATCTCTCCTCTCCCCGAAAAATCTCTCCCCCAAACCCATCCAGCGATGGCGCCTTCGGTCACCTCCCGCCTCCTCCAGAGACGTCTCAAAGCGCTTCACAGAATATACATTTTAAGTTGTAGTCACTGGGTAGTTTGCTCAGTTCTTGTCCTCCCCAATAATTATCTACTTGGGTTGGTCAGGGCTATGGGGAGAGAGCGGCGGAGTGGGGTTGATCAGGGCTATGGGGAGAACGCGGGGGGAGTGGGTTGATTAGGGCTATGGGGAGAGCGCGGGGGGGAGTGGGGTTGATCAGGGCTATGGGGAGAGCGCGGGGGGGAGTGGGGTTGATCAGGGCTATGGGGAGAGCGCGGGGGGGGGGAGTGAAAGCTCCGCCTCGTCGCGGCTTCGAGAGGTCTCAAAACGCTTTGCGGGATACACCGTCGAGTGCGGCGACTGTGTATTTCGTGGGCGAAACGCGGAGGCCGATGGCGCACAGCGGCGTCCCCACAAACAGCCGTGGGTTGAAGCGACCAAATTATTATTATTATTGATTTTTATCGAAGGGATTGTTAGCCCCGGAAAAGCGTTCGGCCAATCGACTAACAACCGGGTTCCTACTGACTGCCGGTAACCAGAGGCGCGCGTGTGAGTGTGTGTGAGTGTGTGTGTGAGTGTGAGTGTGTGTGTGAGTGTGTGTGAGCGGAGTAAGGAAACTTGCCCAACGTTTCGCCCGGGACTCGAACCCGGGTCCTCTCTCTCTCGCTCGCGAGGCGAGGGCTCTAACCCCTGAGCTACAACAACCCTAAAGGTATTTTTGTTTGGGTTTAACCAGGCCATTTCCTTCCTGACCCCACTCTTCACCATATTCTTCATGAGGTTGTTGAACAAATCTGAGGCCGGTGACGTGAAGGAAGGCTGTTTAGGTGAGACGTGACGAACGGACGAACAAACCATCCAACCCTTGTGCTTTCTCTCTCTCTCTCTCTCTCTCTCTCGTCACCTTCACGCTCAGGAGGTTTCCTGTTCCTGCGCAGCTGAGATAACCACTGTCCGCTTTACTCCCTCCCACCCCAACGCCCCCCCCCCCCCCACACACATGCACACATACACACACACGCCCCTACACATCCAAATTACACACACACACACACGCACACGCCTACACATTCCAAACTACACACACAAAGCGCTTCACAGGATACACCGTAAAGTGTACTTTGCGGGTGAAAAACGCACGGCAAACAGTCCCCGCAAACAGTCGCGGATTGAAGCGACCGCATTATTATTATTATTATTATTTTTTTTATTATTTAAATAGTCCCTCGGCAACGAAACTCGCTCCGAACGTTCAGGGCTCCTGCCGTCATGGTCAAATGACGGTAAGATTGAGACAACCGCTCGCCCTGCGCCTGTCTTACCTCCTTTGCATTTTTAGGGCACATTTTCTTCCCAGACCTCTTGCGTAGTGACTGTGTATTTTGCGGGCGGGATTGCTCGCGGTTGAGAAGCGTCCGTCCACTGACCTCTCCTGACTGCTCCCCTCCTTTGCAGCCGCGACTCTGGGCTTGGTTTTGAACGGCGTCATCACCAACACCATTAAGCTGGCGGTCGGCAGGTAAACACCCACCGCATCGCTGAACCCCCACCCACCCCCCAACACACCCCTCGCTCGCCCTCGCACCTCCTCTCCGCACCGTTCACGTGTGGATATCGGGTGCTCGACGACTACTTATGCTCTGAACCTCTCTTGTGCTCGCCTGGTCTCCCCGTCTCAAACGTCACCACCAATCTCCCCCCCCAGCCCCCCCGCGGTCTCCTGCTCGCCTCGGCTGTTAAGCGCTCTGAGACGCTGCCCTGGGTGGAGGGCGCTGTACAAGTGCGAGTTGTTGCTCTCATCTGTCTCTCTGGCTCCCTGTCTCATGTATCCTTCCCTTGGCCTCCCTCCCTTCCCTCCCTCCCTCCGTCCCTCGCCTCCCTCCTTTAAGGCCCATCTCAAGACCCTCCTCTTCGACCAACCGCACCTTCGGTCACCCTCCAACCCCCTCCCCACCCCACCCTCCACCCTCTCCTGATCCAGACCCCCAGCTCGGGTCCAAACCCCTGACCGTACAGCCCAGAGCCTTGGGACGTCCTCTCGACGTGAAAGGCGCCGCGCAAAACGTCACGTGTTGCGGTCGTCGCCGTTGTTGTTGTTGTTGACGCCTGTTGTTTACAGGCCGCGACCAGATTACTTTTTCCGCTGTTTCCCGGACGGAGTGGAGACCAAGGACATGCTGTGCACCGGGGATCCCAGCGACATCACCGAGGGCCGGAAAAGCTTCCCCAGCGGCCACTCCTCCTGTAGGTGCCTCTCACCGAACCCCCACCCCAGTCACCGAACCCCCACCCACCCCCGCACCCACCCCCGTTAGCCTCCCCCCCGAGTTCCCGTTCACCTTTACGGTGATCGAGGGATTCCGATACGAGGGGGCTTCGGTAGAGCAGACGGAGGACAAACTGTTTCCTCTGGCGGGCGGGTGGGTTGGGAATCAGAGGACACGGATTTAAGATTAATCGGCAAAAGATCCAGACGAGGAGACATTTTTTTCTTGCAAAAGAGTTGTTACGGTCTGGTGGAACAGGCTCGAGGGGCTGAATGGACTCGTTCTGTTGCTAATAATGTTCCTGGTGGTCCGCCTCGCAGTTGGGGCTGTGTGTGTGTTGGGGGTGGGTGAGTGTGTGTGTGTGTGTGTGTGTGAGTGTGGCGGTTGGGGTGTTTGTGTGTGTGTGTGAGTGGTGGTTGTGTGTGTGAGTGTATGTGTGAGTGTGGCAGTTGGTGTGTGTGTGAGTGGTGGTTGGTGTATGTGAGTGTGTGTGAGGTGGTTGGTGTGAGTGTGTGAGGTGGTTGGTGTGAGTGTGTGTGTGTGTGTGGTGGTTGGTATGTGAGGGTGTGTGAGTGTGTGTGTGTGTGTGTGTGAGAGTCTGTGTGTGTGGGTGTGTGAGATGGTTGGTGTGAGTGTGTGTGTGAGTGGTGGTTGGTGTGTGTGATTGTGTGTGAGGGTGTGTGTGTGGTGGTTGGTATGTGAGGGTGTGAGTGTGTGTGAGAGTGTGTGTATGTATGAGGTGGTTGGTGTGAGTGTGTGTGTCTGTGAGTGTGTGTGTGAGTGGCGGTGGCCTCTCGGAGCCTGACCTGACCTCAGTGGCGGTGTTTTTCTGGCAGTCGCGTTTGCCGGGCTGGGCTTCACGTCGCTGTACTTGGCCGGGAAGCTGCACTGCTTCAACTCGTGGGGCCGGGGGAGAGGATGGCGTCTGTGTGTGATGCTGCTGCCCCTGTACTGTGCGGCCACCATCGCCATGTCCCGGGCCTGTGACTACCGTCACCACTGGCAAGGTGAGCTCTCACACCAGTCACTGGGGGGTGGGGTGGGCGCAGGGAATACCCCCCTTCAGCTCCTGTTAGCCCTAACGAACTAACCAGCTAACCAGCTAACTAACTACCCTCCTAACGATCTAACTAACTAACTAATGGGGAGGGTCCAAGCTGGACAAGCAGTGGGAAAGCTTGGCCAGACAGACAGCGCTCGCTCTCCCTCTCTCTTTTGATGGCCGAGCTCTGTACGGTCTTAGCTGGTAACCCCGACACACACTCCGAACTGTCTCCCCCCCACACCCCCACCCAACAAGCCTTGGCTCTCGCCAACCTGCGCTTAAAACTCTCCGGAATTCGGGACTGGGTCCCTTCAGAGAGAGAGAGAGGAGAGCGCATTCCATTCCGACAATTCCTATGGCAGGGATTGCAGTGTGTAGGTGGAGGCAAGTTGTTGTTGTTGTTGTTGACCTCGCTCGGGTCTCTCTCTCCGCTGATGCTCTAACTAGTATACTACGGTGACTCTAACAGAGTGTGTGTGTGTGTGTGTGCCCTCTGTGTATGTGTGTGCGTGTGTGCCCTCTGTGTGTGCGTGTGTGCCCTCTGTGTATGTGCCCTCTGTGTGTGTGTGTGTATGTGTGCCCTCTGCGTGTGTGTGCGCGTGTGTGTGTCTCTCTCTCTCTCCCCCCCACAGATGTGGCGACCGGCTCCCTGATCGGCCTGGCTCTGGCCTACACGAGTTACCGGCAGCACTACCCGTCCCTGTCCGACCCCGAATGCCACAAGCCGTACGCGGCGCGGAGCAGGTCAGCGGGGACCCAGGACAGGAAGCTCAACAGCTCCAGCTTCAAGCTCGACGTGTAGAGACCCCGGGACCACCAACCACCACCACCAACCAACGTAGAGATCCCATCCACCCAACGACCGGACCCTCAAGACCCGCATATTAACCCGTTCGTTCGTCTCCGGTCAGAAGCCGTAACCTATTTATTATCGGGACCATATTACGTCGCCTAGAGATAGTGACACACACACACCCGACCGACCACACAGAACATGTGAGCGAGTGAGTGAGTGAGTGAGTGAGCGAGTGAGTCGATACGAGGGAATTAAAGGGGCTGGCAAGCGAGCAGAACAGAACCCACCATAGCAGGTCCTACTTCTATCGTCCGACGCAGCGCCTTATCACGTCGCCGAGACGTCTCAAAGCGCTTCACGGCGTACACCGTTAAAGTGTTGTGACTGTGTATTTGTTTTGTGGGTGTTTGCCCCCCCAAAAAAACCAACGGTTTCTTTTCCCCGCCCCATCATCGCCCCCACACACGCGCACACACGCGCGCGCGCCCATGCTCTCCTCTTTCTCCTCCTTCCACCCCCACCCCCTCGCCCCCCAACCTCTTCAAAATCAAAATCATATTTATGCTCCCAAGTTATTATCCTTTATTTTTTTTAAAAAAATCGTAATAAAATGCAAACGGTGCCAATTGCCATGGTGGTCATAACCCGTTGGGTGCATTTATAATATTAATAATAATAATCCTTGCATTTGATACAGCGCCTTATCACGTCTTCGCGACGTCTCAAAGCGCTTCACGATCCCCAATCCCGCAGGAAATTCCTAAGCAGTTGGGACGGGCTGGGACTGGGGTTGGGGGTTGGGGTTTGGGGCTGGAGTTGGGTTTGGGGGTTTAATTGGGTTTGGGGCTGGAGTTGGGGGTTTGGTTGGGGCTTGAGTTGGGGCTCGGGTTGTAATTGGGGTTTGGGGTTGAGGCTGGAGTTGGGGTTGGAATTGGTTGGGGGCTAGCGGTGGGGTTGGGGCTAGCGGTGGGGTTGAGGGCTAGCGGTGGGGTTGGGGGCTGGAGTTGCGCTCACCCTTGTCCCCACAAACAGCCGTGGGTTGAAGGGACCAAATATATTTATATTTTTGTTTTCGAGGGATTGTTACCCCCCAGAAAGGGAAGCCGCCAGTCGACTGATGTCGAGCATTGTCAGAAGACGGGGTACAGAGGAGGTGTGAGAGGGAGCAGAGGGTTCAGGGTCCGTGACGGAGTTTGTAAAGAGACTTCGCTTCGCAGGGAGAGCAGATGGTTCGAGCTGGTTGCGGTAGAGAGCGAGAGAGGGGGATAGAGAGAGCGCAGGATTCGAGTTAGACCCGTGTACAAGTCTGACCCCCCACAGATGCATCGCAGGTACCAGGAGTCGCCCCCAGAGGGCAGGTATCCGGTCTCATCGGACACCACTCCCACACGATAATCTCGACGTCCGATACAGCGCCTCATCGCGTCTTCGAGACGTCTCAAAGCGCTTCACAGGATACACCATAAAACGTAGTGACTGTGTTATTTTTGTGGCCCAAACGCGGCAGCCAATTGCGCACAGCACCGTTCCCCCCCCCCCACAAGCAGCCGTGGTGTTGAAACGACCAAATTATTATTATCATTTTTTTTTAAGGGATTATTACCCCCCGGAAAAGCCATCCGTCAAGCGACTAGCGACCGGGTTCCTACTGACTGCCGGTAACCAGAGGCGCTGCGTGTGCGTGTGTGTGTGTGTGTGTGTGTGCGGAGTAAGGAAACTTGCCCAACGTTTCGCCCCCCCGCCCTGACCCGCCCGGGAATCGAACCCGGGTCCTCTGGCTCGCGCGGCGAGGGCTCTAACCCCCCCTGAGCCACAGGAAGCTCCACATTCCACGCAGACACACACACACCAGCAGCGCGCACGTCGCTGTACGCACCTTATTTGCCGTGAATATTCACCAAGATCCCATCCGTATAATGCCAGCCCCGTGCCAGCCTCGTGCCAGCCCTGTGCCAGCCCCGTGCCAGCCCTGTGCCAGCCCGCCTCGCACTCTCATCGGTGTTTCGTCCCTCTCCTCACCTGGACCAGGAGAATTCTCGCTCTGATAACAATCCTTGCCATTTGACCCAGCGCCTTATCACGTCCTCGAGACGCCTCAAAGCGCTTCGCAGGATGCACTGCAGAGTGTAGCGACCGCGCGTTTCGTGGGCGAAAGAAAGTGATCGGGGACCAATTTTCTGCCCCCACCCCGCACCGCTCCCCTCGTCCCTTTGCTCCCTGACCAACTGTTACACGTTACTGAACCGGGAGGGGGTGGGCGAGAGGGGAGAAGCGGGGAGGTTATATGTAAATGCCGGACAAGACCATGTGTGTGGAGCGGCCAGCGATGGTGCAAGGTGTAATCTATTGTGTCTGGGACACAGCTCATGAGCTTTAAACGCACGCCTGACGCTGGCTGGTGACGTGAATCCTGTGTGTATATAAAATATATATATATATATATATATATAAACTGCATCCATTCCCCTGTACTGACCAAACTAAATAAAATCAGCTATTTAAAACACAAAGTCACTTGCTTTTTCCTTCCCATCTTTCTCACCTCGCCCCCCACCCCCCCCCACCCCTCGCGGCCCCTTCCTTTCAGATTTTTTTACGTCGTGTGTGTGTGTGTGTGTGTGTGTGCAAGAGACGAGGACAACAACGACGGCTCTCGCCCTACACAGCGCCCTTCAGAGCGCTGATAACCTGATTGTTGGGTTAAAGCTCACACGACAGGCATTAGGGGGACGGAAAGTGTGACCACACACTTATCAGAAAGAAACGCACACAGAGACACACCACACAAACCCGAGTCCTTATTCTGCCGTAAGTGAGACGTCTCGAAGACCTGATAAGGCGCTCTTATCAAATGCGAGGATTATTATATTATCTCCATTAATAAAGACAAAATCTGTCTGTCTGTCTGTCTGTCTACGTGTCCACCAAGAATGCAATAACCGATTGACGTAGAGACGTGAGTTATCGCTCGTCGGAAAGGTGTAAGACGTTTGCTAAGCAAATTGTTAAGGTAACTAATTAGGCCACAAACATTGCCTTATTATTATTATTATTAATCACTGAAGGAATAGGATTGAGGCAGTTCCATGTTATTTAAATAATAAATTGGGCGCTTTGATCCCACGGCTGTTTGTGGGGACGCTGATGGGCGCAATTGGCTGCCGTGTTTCACCCAGAAATATACAGTCACTACCCTTTACAGTGGCATCCTGTGAAGCGCTTTGAGACGTCTCGACGACGTGATAAGGCGCTGGAACAAATGCAAGGATTATTATCATATTTACATCAGTGCCATCTGCTGACTAAAACATATCCTGCAGGGTACCGGCAAACAAAACCCGGTACATAGTTCCGCCCACGATATATACAGTCAATCCACTTTACAATCTATTTTGTGACGCGCTTTGAGACGTCTCGAAGACATCCTAGTTATGTAACTGTCTATAATGTTGGGCAAGTTTACTCCACACGCACGCCTCTGTTCGCCCAGCGGTACGTAGGTCATTAGTCGATCGGGGGAATTGCTTTTAGAGGTGTAATAATCTGTTCAAAGAAAATAACAATAATAATTCGGTCGCTCGATCCGCGACTGTTTGTGGTGGGGGGGGCGGGGGAGACGCTGCTGTGCGCGATTGGCTGCCGCGTTTGGCCCACAAAATCCGCGGTGTGTTCACAGTGTATCCCGCGAAGCGCTTCGAGACGTCTCGAAGACGCGATCGGGCGCCGGGTCGGACGCCGGGATAATTACTATTGTTCTGTCACAGAGCGGACGAGACCGAGGTCACAATGAAAGAGTCTCCGCGAAGAGAACAGAGAGCGGGTGAGGGCGAGTGAGTCGGGCGGCGAGGAAGGGAAGGAAGCGAGGGATATAATAGTACCTGAAAACATAGGAAAAAAGACCCCCGAAAAGCCCAGTAAAAATGCCGGGATTTCGAGAGGATCCCAACAGCATTAAGCAGCCCATATATGACTGCCACATCATGAGCAAAGACATGTGGTGGGGGGCAATTGGGTCTTCGTGCACTATATACTTCGGAGGTTTGCTCTACATCCTCTTGTTCCGACTCGTCAAGTACCTGATCCCGAGAATACCCTGTGAAAGGGGGGAATTACAGGTAAACGCTTCAATCGGTCCCTTTTATACTGGCGGTGGGGAGAGAGATGAGGGGGCGGATGGGAGGGTGTGGGGGGGGAAACACACGGTAAAAGACCTAGAAAAAGAATGGTGGTTTATTTCTGGCTTGCGCGCGCTGTTTGCTCCAGCAGTTCTTCCGGGAGTTTGAGTTATCCCTTCAAAAAATCCATAAGTATAACAATAAATCAATAAATTGGTCACTCAAGCCACGGCTGTTTTTCGGGGGACGCTGTGCCGTGCGCAATTGGCTGCCGCGTTTCGCTGACAAAATATACAGTCACTACGCTTTACGGCATATTCTGTGAAGCGCTTTGAGACGTCTCGAAGAGGTGATAAGGCGCCGGGTCAAATGCCGGGATTATTATTATCTGGGATTTAGAGTGGTGTATGAAATAGCGGTGACTGGGCAAGAAGGCAGTAAGGATGGGCAAATAATAATAATAATAATCCTTGTATTCGACATAGCGCCTTAACGCTTCGTTGAGACATCTCAAAGCGCTTCTCAGGATAAACTGTGAAGTGGAGTGACTGTGTGTTTTGTCAGCGGAACGCGGCAGCCAATTGCGCACAGCGACGTCCCCCACAAACAGCCGTGGGTTGAGTGACCGAATTATTATTTTTTAAACAACATTCGAAGGGAATATTACCCCCAGAAAGCGATCCGCCAATCGACTAACAACCGGGTTCCTACTGAACACCGGTAAACTGAGCCGTGTGTGTGTGTGTGTGTGTGTGTGGGTGGGGGGAGTAAGGAAACTTGCCCAATGTTACGCCCTGACCTGACCCGCCCGGGAATCGAACAACAACAACAACAACAACAAGATTCCATTTATAGAGCGCCTTTCACGTCAAGAGGACGTCCCAAGGCGCTGCACAGTTGGGTCATGACCCGAGCAGGGGGGAAATGGTCAGGGTGAGGGGAGGGAAGGGAGGGAGAGAGGAGGGGGAAATGGTCAGGGTGAGGGGAGGGAAGGGAGGGAGCGAGGAGGAGGAAGAGAGTCGAGAGGGGAGCTGAAGGCACGGTCAAAGAGAAAGGTTTTGAGACCGGCCTTGAAGGAGGAAAGGGAGGAAGCAAGGCGAAGGCACTGGGGGATGGAGTTCCAGAGCCTCGGGGCTGAGAGGCTGAAGGCCCGACCACCGATAGTAGGGCGGTTGGGGCGGGGGACGTGGAGCAGACCGGAGCCAGAGGAACGGAGGGTACGGGCAGGTAGGTAGGGGGATAGTAGGTTGGAGAGGTAGGAGGGAGCAAGGCCGTGAATGGCCTTGTAGGTGAGGATGAGGATCTTGAAATCAATCCTCTGGGGGATGGGGAGCCAGTGGAGGCGAGCGAGGGTGAGGGTGGGAGTGATGTGGTCCCGAAGCCTGGTGCGGGACAGTACACGAGCTGCAGAGTTCTGAATGACCTGCAGCTTGTGGAGGGAGGTGGCGGGAAGGCCGGCGAGGAGAGAGTTCCCATAGTCCAGCCTTGAGGTGACAAAGGCGTGAACCAGGGTTTCAGCAGCGTGAGGGGTGAGGTAGTGCCGTAGTCTGGCGATATTCCGGAGGTGATGGAAGGCGGTGCCAGTTGTGGTGCGGATGTGAGGGAGAAAGGACAGCTCAGGGTCGAACAAAACGCCGAGGTTCCTGACTGGCTTTGAGAGGTGGAGAGTGCAGCCTTGGATGCTGATGGTGTCAGCGCCTGAGGTGCGGAGGCGCTGACGTGAGCCAATCAGGAGGGCCTCGGTTTTTCGCACGTTGAGCTGAAGAAAGTTGTCTCTCGTCCAGGACTCGATGTCGGACAGGCAGGCTGTCAGGACATCGGTGGTCGTGGAGTTGAGAGTAGAGGAGGAAAGGTAGAGTTGGGTGTCATCCGCATACATGTGGAAGTTAACCCCATGTTTGCGGATGATGTCACCAAGGGGGAGCATATAGAGGGTGAAGAGGAGGGGACCGAGGACAGAGCCCTGAGGGACACCACATGAGACAGTACGGGGGGTGGAGGAGAAGCCATTCGTTGAGACGAAGTGAAGACGGTGGGAAAGGTAAGAGCTAAACCATTCAAGGACAGTGCCTTGAAGGTTGAGGTGGGAGGACAAGCGGTGGAGTAGGATAGCGTGGTCGACCGTATCGAATGCTGCCGATAGGTCGAGGAGGACGAGGAGACAGAGGGAGCCCTGGTCACAGATAGTCAGGATATCATTGGTGACCTTGACCAGGGCAGTTTCTGTGCTATGAGCAGCACGGAAACCTGACTGAAGGGGTTCAAAAAGAGAATGGGTGGAGAGGAAAGAGCGCAGTTGGGAGGCGACAACTCTTTCCAAGACCTTGGAGAGAAAGGGGAGGTTGGAGATGGGCCGGTAGCTTGATAGCTGCGACGCATCAAGGGAGGGTTTTTTCAGGGTGGGCGTGATGATGGCAGTTTTTAATGGAATGGGGACAGAGCCAGAGGAGAGGGACAGGTTTATGATGTCAGTGATGTGTGGGGCAAGAAAATGGAGCTGGGAGATAAGGAGTGGAGTGGGGATGGGGTCAAGGGAGCAGGTGGTTGGTTTTAGGGATAGGATGAGTTCAGTGACAGAGGGTGGGGAAACGGGTACGAAGGTGTGTAGGGGAGGATGGGTAGGAGTCGGAGTGTGGGAGGGAAGGGGTGGGTGGACCCCGGGGTCCTCTCGCTGGCGAGGAGAGGGCTCTAACCCCTGAGCTCCGGCGAACTCCACTTGTTGCAAATGACACCAAAGTCAAAGGCAGGATTGCATTTTTAAAAATAATTATGAAGTTATAACTATTGGCAGCGCAAAACCCCCGCCTCGTTCGTCCCGATCCACACCACTTATGTCTCTTTTTTTTCCTTGAGGACGTGTTTCACAAACTTGGTCTCCATTCCCTCGAGTTCAGAAGGGTTGAGGGCTGATCTGATGGAGGTTTTTAAAATAATAAAGGGATTCGATAGGGTAGATACTGAGAAACTATTTCCTCTGGTGGTGGTGGGGAGTGTTAATCCAGAACAAGGGGGAGGGCATCATCTTAATATTCGAGCCAAGTCACTTAGGAGTGAAATCAGGGGCGGTTTGTCATCCAAAGGGTTAGTGGGAATCTGGGACTCTCTCCCCCTCTCTGTCTCCCCCAAATGGCTGTGGGTTATGATTGTGGATCCATTCACGTTGTCCGGACTGAGGTGGGTTGATGGTCAGGGGATCAGGGGATACGGGGCAAAGGCGGGGAATTGGACTTGAGGTATAGATCAGCCCTGATTTTATACGATGGCGGAACAGGCTCGACGGGCTGAATGGCCTCTTTCAATGTGTATTATCTATGTATGTGTTCCTGACACACAGTGGATGAAGAGTAAGATGAGACTGACGGGCAATAAAAGATCCGACAAGCAGCGAATCAGTCAAATGGCTCTGGACCACTTGAAGAGGATGAGATATCCAAATCGGGTAAGTATCTCAGCAACTTTGTGTGTGTGGGTGGGGGGCGGGGGGGGGGGGGGGATAAGGAAACTTGCCCAACGTTTCGCCCTGACCTGACCCGCCCGGGAATCGAACCCGGGTCCTCTCGCTTGCGAGGCGAGGGCTCTAACCCCTGAGCTACATGACTCTACCAGAGATCAGGAGTGGGTGGAGAGCGAGGAGGTCGGGGGGTAGGAGGGTGACTGAAAGCACGGATGGTCGAAGAGGAGGGTGTTGAGACAGGCCATGAAGTCGGCGAGGGAGGGAGGGAGGGAGAGAGGCGAAGGGCCTGTGGGATGGAGTTAGAAAGTGATGAATGTCAATGGGTGAACTGACAATACTTTGTTCCCTCACAGAAAATACCCCTAAAACCCTCAGAATCAAAGCACAAGAAGCACGAAGGTTTAATGAGCTCGATCCAGGACTGGGCAGAACGCACAATAGCGGCCCAGTCCCAGTCCGGCAGAGTGCTGGTGAGTGTTGAAAGATAATAATAATAATAATAATAATAATCCTCGCAATTGATACAAGCGTCTTATCCCGTCGTCGAGACTTCTCAAAGCGCTTCGCAGAATATCGGGTAAAGTGTGGTGACTGTGTATTTTGTGGGCGAAACGCGGCAGTCAATTGTCTTCCTCCCTACCTACCCCCATCTCCAACCCCACCCCCACACCCCCATCCTGATCCCCACCACCAGCTCGGGTCCAAATCCCTGACCGTCCAGGGCCTTGGGACTTCCTCCCGACGTGAAAGGGGGCCGTGTGAATGGCATTTGCTGTTGGTGTTGTTGATCGACTGTGTGTGTGTGTCCTCTCCTGCCAGATGATAATTGTGTTCGTGCTCAGCTTCGCTTCGCTGCTCATCTACTTCTTCAACTCCATGGAGTAAGTATTCACACGGAGTAAATGGGACTGTAGTCACATCAACATGTTGCACTTACACAGCGTCCTTCATGTGGGGTAGAGTCCCTGAGAGCGTGACAGTGGCTTAGTCTGACTCCGAGCCGGGGTGGGTGGGTGGGGGGGCGGAGGTTGACCGTAAGCACGATGAAAAAAGGAAGGTCTTTAGGCGGGATTTGAAGGTGGGGAGGGAGCGAAGGGTGGGGTGGGGGGGGCGAGGCGGAGGGATTGAGGGAGAGAGTGACTGAGTTTCGGGGCGTAGGGGGCTGAAAGCACAGGAGGATTGATTGGGGACCCAAATGATCCAAGTCACATGTCTTGAGGATCGCTTTTCCGGGGGTAATAATCCCTTCAAAACCATAAATAAATAAAAAATATGATAATAATTCGGTGGCTTCAACCCACGGCTGTTTGTGGGGGACGCTGCTGTGCGCGATCGGCTGCCGGGATTCGCCCACAAAATACACAGTCACTGCACTTCACAGTGCATCCCGTGAGGCGCTTTGAGACGTCTCGAAGACGTGATCAGGCGCTGTATCGAATGCGAGGATTGTTGTTACGATAAATAACTCGTGGGAGTGGCCGATAGAGATTTTCATCCTCAGAAATAATTTATTATTTCTTTCTTGCGTTGCATTTTTTCTTTCCCGCAGAAACTATGACGTCTCCCAGATTATCCTCGATGAAGTGGAGTTGATTGACGTGGGTTTCAATGCATTTTTTACCATCTACTTTGGATTACGGGTAGGTACTCTTGTTTGGCCCAAAGTTATATTGTTTTTGTGGAGTTCCCTGTGGCTCAGGGGTTCGAGCCCTCGCCTCGCAAGCGAGAGGACCCGGGTTCGATTCCCGGGCGGGTCAGGTCAGGGCGAAACGTTGGGCAAGTTTCCTTACGTCCCCCCCCACACACACACGCACACACACACACACACACGCGCCTCTGGTTACCGGCAGTCAGTAGGAACCCGGTTGTTAGTCGATTGGCGGATCGCTTTCCGGGGGTAATAATCCCTTCAAAAAAACCTAAAATAATAATAATAATGATAATTCGATCGCTTCAACCCACGGCTGTTTGTGGGGACGTCGCTGTGCGCAATTGGCTGCCGCGTTTTGCCCACAAAACACACAGTCACCACACTTTACAGTGTATCCTGTGAAACGCTTTGAGATGTCGCGAAGACGCGATCAGGCGCCGGGTCAAATGATTATTATTATTGTACCGGAGCAGACAAGGGCAGTTTGTTTGCAGTCGTTCGAGTCGCTCATCAGTCTGGCTGTTGTGATTTGTGTCCTTGACAGTTTGTGGCCTCAAACAATAAGCTGCGGTTCTGGTTTGAAATTAATTCCATTGTGGATTTCTTCACTATTCCTCCCACTGTGGTTTCCCTCTACTTCAAACAGGATTGCGTCGGTGAGTACAAGCTTTCGATCCTGTAGTAGAGGATGCACCCTGAACATTAATCGGTTTAATGTTGGATTTTGCGGGGGTGGGTGAGGTAGGTAGCGGAGTTCCCTGTAGCTCAGGGGTCAGAGCCCGCGCCTCGCAAGCGAGAGGACCTGAGTTTGATTCCTGGACGGGTCAGGTCAGGGCGAAACCTTGGGCAAGTTTCCTTATACCCCCGCACCGCACCCCCCGCAAAACACAGTCAATTCACTTTACAGCGCGTCCTTTGTGAAGCGCTTTGAGACGTCTCGAAGACGTGACGAGGGGCTGTGTCAAACGCGAGGGCGGTTATCGTTTTCGGGAAGTCCTTCGATCCTGACCAACTCTTGTGACGAACAGGTTTGAGGTTCCTCCGATCACTCAGGCTGATCCATCTGCCGGAAATCCTGCAGTACATAAAAATCCTGAAGAAAAAGTGAGTTGTTAGGGCTGCCTCGGGTGCCAATCACCCCCACGCTATTTGTAACTAACGTCGCATGTTATCAGGGCTTGGGAATGGAGCATATTCTCTGCTCCCACCCCTTTGGAACTCCAATCCCACAGTCCGTCTGCCTGGCTCTCTCCCTCCTTTGCCTCCCGCAAGACCCTCCTCTTCGACCAACCGCGCTTTCGATCTCCCCCCCTCCCGACCCTCACTACGTCGTGTAAATCTAACGTGTTGTTGTAGGTTTTCACTCTATTTCCTGCAGCACCTACATCAAGCTGACGAGTCTGATGTGTGTATTTCTTGGAACTTGGCTCTCAGCTGCCGGCTTCATCCACATGGTGAGTTTTTCCACAATGCGCTGACTGCCAACAGAGAGGACTGGAACCTCTCCACCGTTCAACGACAGTCGCACAGAAAGATAAACGCGAGGATGAGTATCCCGTGCACACAGGACAACACCCAAGTATCACTTGGCTCAGGGGTTTAGAGCCCTCGCCTCGCAACCTGGGTTCGATTCCCGGACGGGTCAGGTCAGGGCGAACCTTACTCCACCCTCCCACCCCACCACCTTCACACACACTCACACACACACACACACACACACACACACATGCGCGCCTCTGTTTACCAGCAGTCAGTAGGAACCCGGTTGTTATTGGATTGGCGGATCGCTTTTCCGGGGGTAATAATCTCTACCAAAAAAAAACGCACTCAATCCACGCAAACATGGGACGTCGCTGAGCGTAATTGGCTGCCGCGTTTAGACACACAGTCACTCCAGTGCATCCTACGAAGTGCTGTGAGACGTCCCGAAGACGTGATAAGGCGCTGTATCAAATGCAAGGATTATTATTGTTATTATCGGCACTAAGAACGCGATCGGTTTTGCATCGACAGATGAGAATTCGGGGGACCCGTGGCTGAAGGAACCAAACATCCATAAAATCACCTACTGGGAGTGTGTCTATCTGTTGATGGTCACCATGTCCACCGTTGGCTATGGCGATATCGTGGTCAAAACAATGCTCGGTCAAATCTTTATGATCTTCTTCATCATCGGCGGTCTGGTAAAGATCACCCTTCATTTCTTTACCCCACGTTTAGTCTAGTTTAGTTATCGATCTCGATCTCCTCGCACTCGTCTCACAAATCCCTTCACACCTCCCCACCCTCCAACCGACTCCAACCCAACTATCCACTGCCCTCCACTCGACTGGCTCCGGCCTCCTGCTTGTCCCCCGTGCCCTCCATTCCACCATCGGTGGCCGCGCTTTCAGCCTCTACGCCCCGAAACTTTGTCACTCTTCCCCCTCAATCCCTCCGCCTCACCCAGGATGGTTGGGGATGTGAAAGAGCCAGGATTTCCTGTAGTATTGGTTGGATAAACAGCAGCAGCTGAAGCTCAATGAGCCCAATAGCTTCCTCCTGTGCTGTAATTTCCTGGATTCCCTCTGAATTGCCTTCCTTTATCCCAAAGGGCCTGTTCGCGAGTCACGTCCCCGAGATGATTGAAATTATTGGAAGCAGGAAGAAGTATAATGGGAATTACAGGGCAGTGACTGGCAGAAAGTGAGCAAAAACTTCCTGGTCGATTTGCTGAGTTGGAGTCCCGTTATGTGATGGTTAACACGCTCGCCTCGCAAGCGAGAGGACCCGGGTTCGATTCCCAGGCAGTCTGAAACCTTAGGCAAATTTCTTTACTCCACGAACACACGCCTCTGTTGACCTAGCAGTATGTAGGTAATTTAATTTCGTCCACAAGACACACAGTCACTACACTTTACAGTACATCCTGTGAAGCGCTTTAAGATGTCTCAATAACACGGTAAGGTGCTATATCAGATGCAAGGATTATTATTATTAATTTGGAAGTGTGCATTTCATCTCTTGCAGGCACATTGTCTTGTGTGGCCATATCACCTTTAACTCGATGAGGGATTTCCTCAACGACTTCATCCATAAGGAGAAAGATGAAAGCAATGTGGTGGCCATAGTAGTTCTGGAGGAGTGAGTGAGACACCCGGCCTTCTCTATACCTACCCTTCGTCACGTTCCCTCCCTCCCCACCTTCAAATCCCACCTTTTTGATCGTGTGTGTGTGGGTCTGTATATGGCTGTCCTTCTGTGTCTGTGTTTGTGTGTGTGCTTGTCTGTCTGTGTCTGTCTGTGTCTGTCTGTGCCTGTGTGTGTGTGTATGTCCGCATGTGTGAGTGTGTGTTTGAAGGGCACTATATAAATGCAAGTTGTTGTGGTGTTGGCTCTTCGAAAGAACTCCCCAACTCGTTCCACTGCCCGATCTCACCCCATAGCCCTGTACCTTGTTGTCCTTTGTAATGGCGGTGGTGGCTCACGCTGGAGGTGTTCAGGGCAGGACACGGCTGACACCCTAGTCAGTCAACAAACAAACAAACCCACCCACCCACCCAGAACAGCCTGACAGCTCTAACTCCCTTCTGCGGCCGTTTACGCTCAGATTGCTTCCTTCAAGACCCTCCTCTTCAACCATCCGCCCCTTCGGTCACCCTCCATTCCCCCCTCCTGATCCCAACCCCCAGCTCGGGGTCCAAACCCCTGACTCTCCAGCGCCTTGGGACGCTCCTGACATGAAAGGCGCTGTGTAAGCATCATGTGTTGTTCAAATTCGGACGACCAAAATTTGTGGATTAACAGATTCTGCGCCCACCGCTTTATATCCCACAGTATTGAACCTGACGTGGATTTGTCGACTCTGTTCAAACTGAACCTCACCCGCTTAGAATTTTTACAAGGCTCGGTGTTTGAACACGAAAGTCTTGTCAGAGCTAAGGTAAGAATCATAGAATTATTATAATAATAATAATAATCCTTGCATTCGATTCAGTGCCTTATCATGTCTTCGCAACGTCTCAAAGCGCTTCACAGGATACGCTGTAAAGTGTATATTTTGTGGGCGAAACGCGGCAACCAATTGCGCACAGCGGCGTTCCCGCAAACACTCGTGGATTGACTGACCTGTGTTTCGCCCACAAAACACGCAGTCAATTCATGTTCCAATGTATCCTGTGAAGCGCTTTGAGACGTCTCAAAGATGTGATAAGGCGCTGGATCGAACGCAAGGATATTTTTTCCCCCTTGACTGATCAGCGCCTTGGGAACGTCCTCCCGATGTGAAAGGTGCTTTACAGGTGTAATGTTGTTGGTGGTGTTGTTGGTGGTGGTGTTGTTGACTAAACCATTTCTCTGTTGGGTGAAAGAGCAGGTGATCAAAGCAGATGCCTGTCTAATCCTCGCAGACAAGAACTCTACAAATGCAGAGGTGGAAGATTCCATTAATATTATGAGGTAAGAATGATGGAAGGTGGAAGGAACTTGACTTGATGGACGTCGGTCTTCATGTTCTTGTCACACCTCACTCGGACAGTCCTATTGAGATGTGATGGCTACTGATTTCAGTGTCTTACTCTAGGGCTATCTCTATAAAACAGTACGCTCCAGATGTCAGAGTCATCGTACAATTGCTTCAGTATCATAGCAAGGTCAGTCATCCAACCCGGAAACCCGCCTCCGTGCTTAATTCTCTCCAAACCAAACTGAGAATCCCGTGTATCCCACCAACATATAGGAGTTCCCTGGAGCTCAGGGGTTAGAGCCCTCGCCTCGCAAGCGAGAGGACCCGGGTTCGATTCCCGGGCGGGTTAGGTCAGGGCGAAATGTTGGGCAAGTTTCCTTACTCCCCCAACCCCCCCCCCCACACACACACACACACACGCGCCTCTGTTTACCAGCAGTCAGTAGGAACCCGGTTGTTAGTTGATTGTCAGAACGCTTTTCCAGGGATAATGATTCCTTCAAAAAATCAATCAATAAATCGAAGTGACCAATTTATTGATTTATTGTGGGACGTTGTTTGTGGGGACGCTGCTGTGCGCAATTGGGTGCCGCGTTTCGCCCACAAAATATACAGTCAGTCCACTCTGCGATATATTCTGCACGCAGACAGGTGGAAGGAGAACTGGATGGACCTTGGACTTCTTTTGCCCTCGGTCGGTCTCCAGTGAGGGGCGCTGTCTCAATGCAAGTTGTTGTTGTTGGTGTTGGTATTCCAGGCGTATCTACAGAACCTGCCCAACTGGGACATGAACCAGAGGGACATTGTCATCTGCCTCTCAGAGTTGAAGTTGGGTTTCCTTGCCCAGAACTGTGTTGTGCCAGGTTTCTCCACTTTGCTTGCGAACCTCTTCATCAAGAAATCAGATGTGAAGGTAAGAAATCCACACCCTTTTGCCTGTACGTATGTATCTCCTTTTTCTTTAACCTGGCATTTACTTTTATAATATCAAACATCATTTGTTTTTAAATCTGTTTTATCGATTTCCGGGGGTAATAATCCCTTCGGTCGGTCAATCGGTCGTTTCAATAATACTTGCATTTGATGTAGCGCCGAGTAAGGTCGTTCAGATGTCTCAAAGCTCCTCCCAGGGTATATTGTGAAGTGTAGTGACCGTGTATTTTGTGGGTGAAACACGGAAGCCAATTGCGCACAGAAGCGTCCCCATGGATTGAGCGACCGATTTTTTTGGGGGGTGGGATTATTACCCCCGGAAAAGCGATCGGCCAATCGACTAACAACCGGGTTCCTACTGACTGCTGGTAAACAGAGGCGCGTGTGTGTGTGTGGGGGGTTGGGGTGAGGGGGGAGTGAGGAAACTTGCCCAATATTTCGCCCTGACCTGACCCGCCCGAGAATCGAACCCGGGTCCTCTCGCTTGCGTGGCGAGGGCTCGAACCCCCGAGCTACAGGAATCCACAGTCCTGTAGAGCAGGAGCGCCTGCTGATAAGTGTGGTTGCCCTTTGTCGCTCACCAACCTCATACGGGCCGTTTCATCCCATCTCCAGATTACTTCCGGTACCTGGGTCGACAGTTATCTGGAAGGAATATCGAATGACCTTTACACGGAATATCTTTCTAACAGCTTCAACGGAATGAGCTTTGCTGCAGTGTGCAAGTGAGTGACCTCCAGCTCGACCAGATCAACAACCTATAACAACACCCCCCCCCGCCCACCCCCACCCCACCCCCACACGACCACCACCTTTCTAAGATATCAGCTTTGTCTCAGAAACACCCAGGATGGTCCAACTGGCGGCCCCCGGGCCACATCCGGCCCCCGAACCGATTTCATCCTCCCCCATCCCCCCATTTCATCTGGCCCACCCGCTTCCTCCGTCACCCATAAATGTCACATTATGTTTCTGGAAGGGAAACACAAAAGTATTGCTTATGCAGCTCTCCCCCCCCACCCCCACCCACCCAGACGTTTCTCAAACTGGGCAAATTTGGCCCTCGGCAGCTTCTCACCATCTCTCTCTCTCTCTCTCTCTCTCTCGTTGCAGCATTTGCTTTGTTAAGCTCAAGATACTGCTGATTGCCATTGAGCACAGAGAATTCGAGAACAAGAGGTGACTACATCTAAAGTCTAGCTGGAATCCTGCAGCTCGGCGGATAGAGCACTCGCCTCGCAAGCGAGAGACCCGGGTTCGAGTCCTGGCAGGGAGAAATGTCTTGCCCCCTGGGAAAGCGATCTGCCAATCGACTAACAACCGGGTTCCTACTGGGTAAACAGAGGCGTGTGTGCATGTGTGTGTGTGCGCGTGTGTGTGGGTGTGTGGAGTAAGGAAACTTGCCCAGTGTGTCTCCCTGCCCGGCTGGGAATCGAACCCGGGTCCTCTCTCTCGTGGCGAGGGCTCCTAGTAGGAATTGTTCTGCGCTTGGCTGACCAGTCGCAGTAACCTTCGGTCTCAGGCTACGTGTGTCCATTCCCTTTGCAGTTTATTAGTGAACCCTGGTGATCACATCAAGATACAACCACACACCTTAGGATTCTTTTTTGCTCGCAAACGTGGCAACGTGATCAGGTAATTATGACAAGTCCGGCTTTTCCTACTTTCCCGGAATTAAAAGGAGGATAAACATCAGTTTATCGGGGTGTGGGGTGCAGGGGTTGGTGGTGGGGGGGACGGATAGGGGGTTGACTCTCCATAATAATAATAATAATAATAATACTCCTTGCATTTGATTCAGCGCCTTATCGCGTCAATAACACCACCAACTTGCACTTGTGTAGCACCCTCTACGCAGGATAGCGTCTCAGAGCACTTAACCGTGGCGGAGCCTGACTGGGTGGCTGGGGGGCAAGGGCGGTGGTGGGGGGGGGTGGGGGGTGCTGGTAGGGGGTGGGGAGCTGCCCCTAAGCACGGTTGAAGAGGAAGGTTTTCAGGCGGGACTTGAAGGAGGAGAAAAAAAGGGGGAGGTCGTGTGGTGTATGTGTGGTCGCAAACTGACATCTGAGCTAACATTTCTACCTCTCTCTCTTGCTCTCCCCCCCACTCCCCCCACTCCCCCTTCCTCAGGGCAAACATTTACTGCAATTTATGCCATACAGACATTTATGACTTGAAGAGGATTAAAAAATGTATATGCAAAAGCTGTGAGTGGCCTCGATCTTCTTCCAATAATAATAACAATCAAATAATAATAATGATAGCATCATAAGCCTTGCAATTTGGCAGAGCACCTTATTGCATCATGGAGATGTCTCAAAGCGCTTCACAGAGTATACTGTTGGGAAGCTACCGGCCGGCACGATTGATTACACTCATGGCTCTTGGTCAGAAGGACCCGGGTTCGATTCCCGGGCGGGTCAGGTCAGGGCGAAACCTTGGGCAAGTTTCCTTCCTCCACGCACACACGCACACACACACCCACACACACACACACACACACAAACCTTGGGCAGGTTTCCTTATACCCCCCCCACACACACACACACATACACATGCGCCTCTGGTTACCGGCAGTCAGTAGGAACCCGGTTGTTAGTCGATTGGCGGATCGCTTTTCCGGGGTAATAACCCCTTAAAAAAAAATTACATAATAATAATAACTTGGTCACTTAACCCACGGCTGTTTGGGGGGACGCTGCTGTGCGCAATTGGCTGCCGCGTTTCGCCCACAAAACTGCAGTCAATTCACTTGACCGTATAGCCTGTGAAGGGCTTTGAGACGTCTCGAAGCCGTGATGAGGCGCTGGGTCAAGTGCGAGGATTATTATTGATATTATTATTATTATCTCCCGTTTCTCTTCGCAGCTGAAAATATAATGGCAGACATTCCTCTCGCCAAAGGTGAGGCCTATCGGGTTCTGGCAAGTCGATCATCAAAAGAGAGGTAAGAGACATCTTCCATCTCTGAGCTCAGTACTACACCTTAACACACAGCAGTCATCCAGCAGACAACATCTGTCTGTCTCACACGTGGATTCCAGGTGTTACGGGTCTTTCTTAAGTGGTTCGGATGGTGTATTATTAATAATAATAATAATAATAATAATAATCCTCGCATATGATACAGGGTCCCAAAGCCCTTCACAGGACATACTGTAAAGTGTGGTGACTGTGTATTTTGTGGGCGAAACGCGGCAGGCAATTGCGCACAGCGGTGTCCCCACAAACCCCCGGAAAAGCCATCCGCCAATCGACTAACAATCCGGTTCCTACTGACTGCCGGTAAACAGAGGCGCGTGTGTGTGTGTGTGTGTGGGGGGGGGAGAGTATAAGGAAACCTGCCCAAGGTTTCGCCCTGACCTGACCCGCCCGGGAATCGAACCCGGGTCCTCTCGCCTGCGAGGCGAGGGCTCGAACCCCTGAGCCACAGAGAACTCCTATATCAAATAATATTATTATTATTATTATAAAAGAGCTTTTTATAACCACGGGGTTGTTTCGGTCTGAGGATGATGGGTTCTCTGGCTTCGAAAGAGTGCGTTACTCATGTTCAGTTGGAGGAATTGACATGAATAGTGTCATCTATAGTGTATGTATTTATCACACAATTCACACAGACTCAGTGAGAGACACCTCAGTACCGAGCACATAAATATTTTATATTACTCTGTGTGTTGACTCTGCCTTTGCCAACCACACTCCTCTGCCGTGAAGTATTGTCGAGAGTATTTTTCATGACAAGCTTACAACTGGTTTAATGCCAAACATTCATAAATAATATAATTTACAGTGCTCGGCTGTCAGAGTTGACAGATGGATTATCTGGAGGATGTGCGTGGCATTTAAAAGAATCAAAATAAGTTCTTGCTTTGAGGACGGTCGTGTGCGTTGTGTGTTTTGTGTATGTGCGTCTGTTGTGTGTGTGTGTGTCGGTAGTGTGTGTTGTGGGGGGGGGGGTGGTAGGAGATGTGTGGGAACACGTCTGTAGGATGAGTGTATTTACATTCCATGTCTTGCATGTGGTTGTATCTGTAACATGTCAAAGGGTGAAACCTTAGATAAGTTTCATTGCTCCACACGCCTCTGTTGTAAGTAGGAACCTGGTTGTTAGTCGATTGACAGATCGCTTTCCCGGGGGTAATAATCCCTTCGACAATACTAACATGGTCACTCAACCCACGGCTGTTTGTGGGGACGCTGCTGGTGCAATTGGCTGCTACGTTTCACCCACAAAATACACCGTCGCTACACTTTACAGTGTGTCCTGTGAAGCGCTTTGAGACGTCTCGAAGACGTGATCAAATGCAAGGGTTCTTATCTTCTGGGCCTCACGCTCTCCGGAATTAGGTAAGCAAGGGGCGTTCCCCCCCAGGGAGAGAGAAAGAGAGAGCGACAGAGAGCGCATTCCATCCCGACAATCTCTCTCTGGGGTTTCCAGGTGTGGGGGGGGGGGGATGTGGGGAATTCTCGGAGGCTCTTAAGCCACGGTGACGGGTTTCCCAATTAATTGCTGGCCAAAAAGAACCGGATAGGTGAGAGCAGACAGTGCCTATGGAACCACACCCAGTCAGACCAGGCAACACCCTTGTTTGCAATCCCAAGCTTAATTTTTCATCTGAAATACAGTTTCAGGAGACGTGATGAGAGAGAGAGAGAGAGAGAGAGAGCGCAGAGAGAACGAGAGAGAGAGAGAGAGCGCAGAGAGAACGAGAGAGAGAGAGAGCGCAGAGAGAACGAGAGAGAAAGAGAGAGAGAGAGAACAGCTGCTGTTTAATTGCCAAACATTTCACGATTAGATTATTATTCAAATATCAGCGTGATGGTTTTATCCGAAGTTTACAGCTAACGAGACAGAAACTAACTAACTAACTAAAAAAGAATGTCAGCCACGTCTTAGAGCAATAAATCACAGGGAGAATTTACATCGCTGAGTGCGCAATACATCGACAAGATTATACACACAATCCCAGCCAGTAATATTTTGTGGTGACTTGCTTTATTTGCTCCCCTTAAACACGTTACATTATGGCTTATGGAATTTCATTTACTTGGATTGACAGCTTGATAAATATGTCTACCGCTGATGCCGTGAATTGCTGCCGGCATTATTATTATTATTAAAATCTGTCACGAGCAAAAAAGTTCTGAGGGATGACTGGGTGTGAAGATTAGTAGCGTGAAATAAATCATTCGGCGCTATTTCCTTGCCATTTACGGCTCTTCGAACTCCCTGGAGCTGTGTCAAACACTTTTACGTTGCGTTATTTTTCAAGGTTTATAGCTGGATCGCTCAGGGGGCTGTTTGCAAAGAAAGGAGCAGACAGAGTGGGGTGGACTGTGAGGGTTTAGTAACAGCGTAGAAACAGAAGGTCGCGCTTTCAGCCACCGCGCCCCGAAAACTCTGTCACTCGCTCCCTCAAACCCTCCGCCTCGCCTCCCCCCCCTCTCTCTCTCTCTCTCCCTCCCTCCCCACCTTCAAACGCCGCCCAAAGACCTTCCTTTTTGACCGTGCTTACGTTTTCGCTCTGTGTACCCAGCGGCGAGTAGGAACCCGGTTGTTAGTACAGTCACCTTTTCCGTGAGTATTCCTTCAGAAAAACAAAATAATAATAATTCGGTCACTCCAACCCACGGCTGTTTGTGGGGGGGGACGCTGCTGTGCGCAGTCGCCCACAAAACACCCAGTCACTCCACTTTACAGTGTATCCCGTGAAGCGCTTTGTGACGTCTCGAAGACGTGATGAGGCGCTGTGCCAAAGGCGAGGATTATTATTATATATTTTTGTTTGTGGAACGGGATGGAGCTCGGTCTTTTGCTGAGCAAATTCTTACGGGCTTATCAGCACAGAAGCAAATGCTTATATTCTTACGTGTGGTTTGTTGCGAGAGAATGCACCGGGAATGGTTTGTGTGATTCGGAGGATTAATCAGGCGCCTGCTGATAAGGTAACTGCATTGGACCAACGCAGTATATTCTCGTAAGGCACTATTCATCCCTCGCTGATCTGACTGCACCTGCGCCTTTCGTTCCCATTCTAGTGCAATCTTCACGGGTTCAGCCAAGTCTGAGGTAGCGCAGAGGCTCGAGAACATTCCCTCGTCAATCTCAGAGCCAGACTGATAACGTCAGCTTAATGTCGCCACAAAAGATGATCGTTTCTATCCATTGGAATGAGAAAGATTAGGTCTGGCCATGTGGAATGTGGTAAACAGGTGATTTTAAAGAAGGGGTGGAGCGGTGGGGGGAGAGCAGGAGACTGATCTCATGACTGTCTGTGCAGGGAATTTAATCCAACCTTCGTGTTTCGAACTCGAGGAACTCTGCTGATAATCCCTCACGCAGCCCAACGTAGGATTGACTCTTTGCAGCTTTATTGAGACGTTTGACCCGGCGCCTGATCGCGTCTTCGAGACGTCTCAGAGCTCTTCACGGGGTACAATGTAAAGGGTAGTGACTGTGTGTTTTGTGGGCGGAACGCGGCAGCCGATTGCGCACAGCAGCGTCCCCCACAAACAGCCGTGGGTTGAGTGACCAAATATCTATTTGTTTAGTTTGAACAGATTATTACCCCCTGGAAAAGCGATCCCCCAATCGAGTAACAACCGGGTTCCTACTGACTGCTGGTAAACAGGGGCGCGCGCGTGTGTGTGGGGCGGGGGCGGGGGTGGGGGGGTGGGTGTGGGGGGGCGGGGGGAGCAAGGAAACTTGCCCAATGTTTTGCCCTGGTCCTCTCGCTCACGAGGCGAAGGCTTCTAACCAACTACGTGGTGTGGGATGCGGTGGAACGAGAGAAGGCTGAGGAGATGGGACATTGACACCAGTCGATCAGAATGTACTCGTTCTCTGTGACGAAGCGTTACTTGTTTTTAAAAAAAATTCCATCAACATCTCGCGTAAGAAAAAAATAAAAAACAGCCCACGGTTAAGATTTGCCCTCTCTGCAGGTTTCAGAAGATAGTGGAGGAAGATGATGAATATGAAGATGCCAGGAATTACGACTCAACTGGAATGTACCACTGGTGCCAGCCCAAGAACATCAAAGAAGTCTCTCTGGTTGGTTTTAGACCGTAGGTGCCACCCAAGGTGGGCAATTGGCACCTCGGTTGGGCGGGAATGTTGAGTGCGCGCAATTGGCTGCCGCGTTTCCCCCTCAAAACACACAGTCACTACGCTTCACAGAGTATCCCGCCAGGCACTTTGAGACGTCTCAAAGACGTGATCAGGCGCCGGGTCAATTGCGCGGCTTATTTTATTATTATTCTTAAGACGGAGATGCAGAACAGTAATAGACAAATAATAATAAAAACGATCCTCGCGTCGATACGACGCCTTATCACATCGTCGCGACGTCTCGAAGCGCTGCTCAGAATAGACCGTGAAGAGGATTGGCCGTGTGTTTTGTGGGCCAAACGCAACAGCCAATTGCGCACAGCAGCGTCCCCACAAACAGCCGTGGGTTGAGCGACCAAATTATTATTGATTTATTCATTTATTTTGAAGGGATTATTACCCCCCGAAAAAGCCATCCGCCAACTGGGTTCCTACTGACTGCCGGTAAACAGAGACGTGTGTGTGTCTATGTGGGGTGGGGGGGGTGGAGCGGGGGCGGGGGGGGAGTAAGGAAACTTGCCCAATGTTTCGCCCTGACCTGACCCGCCCGGGAATCGAACCCGGGTCCTCTCTCGCTTGCGAGGCGAGGGCTCTAACCCCTGAGCGCCAGGGAACCCCACTTAATAAGCATAGGCCGCGACCAGGAGCTAATCTTAACGTGCAGTTGTGGCTTTCTCCCCCACGCCCCCACCCCCCCCCCCGCCCCCCAACACCACCCCACACCCCCACTCCCTCTCCCCATGGCCCCCTCGGAGGTCAGACTTCCCCCCAGTGTCAAGCGCTCCGGGACGCAAGCCCGGGCGAAGGGGGCGCCGGGTAAACACACGACGTTGTTGTTGCGCAGGACCGTCATACAGCGGGCAGCCGCAGTCTGTGCAAACACGTGATTGTGTGCGTCTTTGGGGACGCTCGAGCCCCGAGCCTGGGGCTAAGGAACTTCATCATGCCCCTGAGAGCCAGCTGCTTCACCTACGATGAGCTGAAGACCATCGTGCTGGTGGGATCGTTGGATTACCTGACATCCGAGTGGCACAGCATCAACTACTTCCCCAAACTATTCATCATGATGGTAGGTGTGAGCGCACGGGAGCAGCTTTTTGCGCCACTAGTTTTCGAGGCCTTATCGACGGGATTGATTGATCGTCCTCGCATTTGAAACGTGTGTGTGTGGGTGGGGGGGGGTGGAGGGGGTGGGGGAGTAAGGAAACTTGCCCAACGTTTCGCCCTGACCTGACCCGCCCGGGAATCGAACCCGGGTCCTCTCGCTTGCGAGGCGAGGGCTCGAACCCCTGAGCTCCGGGGAACTCCACGAGCGCTTCACAGGAAACACTGTAAAGTGGAGTGACTGTATTTTGCAACCTAAATACTCAACTGAACCATGAATATGTGGGCCACTCCCTTCCCACCTTCAACCCCCCCCACCACCCCCCCCCACCCATCGCCTCCCTCCCCCTCCCACACCTTCCTTTCTGGGTCACTCCCTACCCCACTCCTCCCCACCCCCTCCCCTCGCTCTCCCCCTGGGCTCGTCGTCAGACTCCGTCACCGCGAAGCGCTCCAGGACGCTACCCCACTTGAAAGGGCGCTCCATCGGGTGCAAGTTGTTGTTGGTGTCATTTACCTATTGTGCCCTCAGGGCTCACCTCTCTGCCGTGCGGACTTAAAGAGCGTCAACATCGGCTGCTGCGATATGTGTGTGATCCTCTCCTCCAACTGGGTGAAGTTCAAAGAGAAACCTCTGCAAGATAAAGAGTGCGTTCTGGCTACCCTCAACATCAAAGGCATGCTGTTTGAGGAAAGCTTAGCCGATGAACAGTTCTCCTCCATCAGTTTAGGTATGAATGTTGAGCGTTATATTATTATTAGTAGTATTAATATTAATTATTAATCGCAATAATAATAATCCTGGCACTTACGCCCACAAAATACAGGCAATTCCTGTTACGGTGAAGGGCTTTGAGACGTCCCGAAGGCGTGATACGGTGCTGTGTCAAACACAAGGATTATTATTATTATTATCACTATTGATACAGTGCCTTATTGCATCTTCGATTCGCGGCAGCCGATTGCGCACAGCAGTGTTCCCCACAAACAGCCGTGGATCGAGCGACCAAACTATCATTTATTTATTGGAGGAATTATTTCCCCCAGAAAAGCGATCCCCCAATCGACTAATAACCGCTACTGACTGCTGGTAAACAGAGGCGTGTGTGTGTGTGCGTGTGTGAGTAATGTTTCTCCCCGCCCGGGAATCGAACCCAGGTCCTCTCACTTGCGAGGAGAGTGCTCTAACCACTGAGCTACAGGGAAGGGAATAACTTTCGGGGGGGTGTGGGGGGGCTACAAGTGAGCCAAGCTGCGATGTGCATTTCAGCTCAGACACTCAATGAATCTCGTGGTGACTTGAATCAACATCCAGTCTGTTTGACAGCCTCTGGTCATTCACAAGGAAACAGCTCGACACAGTGCACGTTAGGAAATACTTGCGGGAGATAAATATTTTAATTGGAACTTCTTTGAGAAGCCCTTAAATGAGACTCGTATTAATCACCGGCCCTGCTCGCATGCTCCAGTCGGAGAGAGAGAGAGAGAGACGGAGAGCAGGCAGAGGAACATTAATCAATAGGCTCCCAGTCTGACGGGCCTGGAATCCATCCAGATGGAAAATGCTGCAATGTTCAGTGGATTTAGCAATGGTTTGTGTTTGTCGACTGTTTACCGGCAGTCAGTAGGAACCCGGTTGTTAGTCAATTGGCAGTTTGCTTTTCCGGGGGTAATAATCCCTTAAATAACAACAATGACAACAGTGTCACTCAATCCAGAACTGTTTGTGGGGTCGCTGCTGTGCGCAATTGGCTGCCGTGTTTCTCCCACAAAATATGCAGTCACTACACTTTGCAATGTATTCCATGAAGCGCTTTGAGGCGTCTCGAACGCAAGGATTATTATTTTTATTATTATTAATTAAGATTTAATTGTCCCTGGCCCAGGAACACCGAAACCCCACGTAGAGCTAATATTGCCGCCTCAGTTCAGAATCGCTCTCTAATTTGGTTCGATTAGCATCAAAAGTACCCCTTTTCCTGGCTCGTTATAATTAACGGCCGTACAGAAAGATGCCAGAGGCGCGAGGAACTGAACAGTTTCCTAATTCGGTGACTTTTACAGGTAAGATTAATGTCTAATCGTGTCGAACACTGCTTTATTTTTTATATAGACACTAAGGCAAGAGAGGAGAGTAATGACCTGCAAGACAACTTCCCCAAACAGTACTTCAGAATCCCTACCATCACCTCCTTGGGTAAGTGATGTGGGGAATGTGGCTTTACATGAACTCTGGGCATGTTCAGCGTTAGGTTCTGCCCTGAAATGCTTTCCCCCATCCCTGTCCTCCACCCTCCATCACTCTCCCTCGTCCTCCTCGCCTCCCGTCCCCACTTGAGCTTCCCACAGCCTCCCTCTGCTCCGGCCTCCAGCTCGGTGGTTCGAGAGGGCGCTCTCGCCTCGCAAGTCCGGGTTCGTTCGATTCCCGGGCGGTGCAGGGCCACACCTTCAGCAAGGAACCGGAGCCGGGTTGTTAGTCGACTGGCGTGTCGCTTTTCCGGGGGTAATAATCCATCCCCCCCAAAAAAGAATGGCCACTTCCCTCCACGGCTGTTTGTGGGGATGCCGCTGTGCGCAATTGCCTGCCGCATTTTGCCCACAAATATACACAGTCACTACACTTTACAGTGTATCCTGCGAAGCGCTTTGAGACGTCTCGAAGACGTGATGAAGCGCCATGTCAAATGTGAGGATTATTAGTGTTATTATTATTACAGATCTCATAGAATGGTGGAATAGGCTCGATGGGCTGAATGGCCCACTCCTGTTCCTATGGGACATGACATGTCAAGCGACTGCCAGGATGGTGGAAGGCAAACTGGATGGACCTTGGTCTTCCTCCACCGGCAAGTCCTTATGTTCTCGTGTACACACTGACAGTCCATTCTCTTGTGTTGCCATTCCAGTGAATGAGTCTAGTGTGCGGTATCTGGACCAGGAGAGCTGGGATGAAGCTGATATTGACCTGTACCTCACACGGCCATATGCGAGTGGATGCGTCTTTGCAGCGAATATTTTGAACTCGTTAATGTGTGCGGTGAGTTCAAGCTCAGCTTCTCCTCGTGTCCTGTAGCGTAGAGGAATCCAGGATTAGAGCCCTCGCCTCGCAGGCGAGAGGACCTGGGTTCGATTCCCGGACTGGTCAGGTCAGGGCGAAACTTTGGTGTCCTTACTCCACACACACACACACACACACACACGCGCCTCTGTTTACCGGCAGTCAGTAGGAACCCGGTTGTTAGTCGATTGGGGGATGGCTTTTCCGGGGGTAATAATCCCTTCAAAGACAAAGCCAAATAATAATTTGTTCACTCAATCCACGACTGTTTGTGGGGACGCTGCTGTGCGCCATTGGCTGCGGTGTTTCACCCACACAACACACGCTGCCAAGTTTAATCGGTGACATTCGGGAATTCAGGTTTTTTTCCCAGTTAAAAATTACTCAGGGAAGAGAGAGAGAGAGAAGCGATATCGAGTTCCGTTCTGGGAAATTGCTCCCACACTGAGGTCGCACGACATCTCGAGATGTTACTGAGAAATCGTAGTCTTTATCCTGTGAAGGGCTTCGAGACATCTCGAGCACCTGAATCAAACTCAAGGATTATTGTGTTCTTGAGAGGTTTGGCTTTCCTGCCAGACGGGTTCCTTGAATACAATGATCCGGTCATGACTTGGCCCTACCTCGAGCCCTTCAAGAGAGATCTTTGCCAGGAGTTTAACAATAAAATATCTGACCCCCAAGGTCTCCATTTTCCCCAGTCCTTCATTCGCTGGTGTTCTGTCTGGTCTGCATTACGCATTCTCTCGTTTCTGGTGAATCTTCGCGAGTCAGACTTTTTTTTTTTGGGTGTGTAAAGGAATGGAGAAAAAAAAAGGTTCGTTTTTTGTTTGCAGAACTTAAACACTGACATTCAGGAATTCAGTCTTTTTTTCTCCCAGTTTACACAGCGGAGAAAGAAAGAGAGAGAGAGAGAGAGAGAAGTGATATCAAGTTCCGTTCTGGGAAATTGCTCCCACACTGAGATGTTACTGAGAAATCGTATTCTTTATTGGAAGCGACGAGCACGGATCTGGTTTCTTTGATGATTTTTTACCGAGTTCTGGGAGAAATCGTGGGCGTTTTCGTGCGGCTGAAAAACCTTTTTCAAAAGTGCACTGATGAAGGCACATCAACCCGCGGCTGTTTGTGGGGATACGCTGCTACGCGCAATTGGCTGCCGCATTTCGCCCACAAATACACAGTCACTACACTTTACAGTCTATCCTGTGAAGCGCTTTGAGACGTCTAGAAGACGTGAAAAGCGTTATATCAAATGCAATGATTATTATTATTATTATTATCAGCCTTACAGCTCAGCTGACGTTACATTGTCGGTTCTCTCGCTCACTCCTCAATCCCCAATGTAAACTCCCGATTTTTCCCAGTTTGACTTCTGCTTTGGTAATAATAACCATAATAATAATAATAATAATCCTTGCATTTGATATAGCGCCTTATCACGTCTTCGAACCGTCTCAATTATTAGTACACAGAATATACTGCTGGGTAAACAGAGCCGCGTGTGTGTGTGTGTGGAGTAAGGAAACTTGCCCAACGTTTCACAGAATAATAATAATAATAATCCTTGCATTTGATATAGCGCTTTTCACGTCGGGAGGACGTCCCAAAGCGCTTCACAGAACACACTGTAAAGAATAAAGTGTAGTGACTGTATATTTTGCGGGCGAAACGCGGCAGCCAATTGCGCACAGCAGCGTCCCCCACAAACAGCCGTGGATTGAGTGACCAAGTTATTATTTTTTTTTGAAGGGGATTATTACCCCCGGAAAAGCGATCCGCCAATCGACTAACAACCGGGTTCCTACTGACCGCCGGTAACCAGAGGCGCTCGTGTGTGTGTCGGGGGAGTGAGGAAACTTGCCCAGCGTTTCGCCCTGACCAGGAATCGCTCCCAGGTCCTCTCGCTTGCGAGGCGAGTGCTCTAACCCCTGAGCTACAGGACTCCACCTGACACCTGAAGCCACTTGGAGGGACCCACACCAGCTTAGAAACTAATTAATCAGGCTGCGATTTCAACACATTAATCAGAGCTGAATAGAGGCAGGTCAGATAGACAGAGCTGCCGATGGGTTTTAGATTTCTTTCGTCAATACTTCCTCATGGAACTACATCCCAGAAACCTGATCTGCTCTCAGCAAAGCACATCGGAAGATGCAAGAACTGCACCAAATCCGTTTGAATGGAATCAATTGATGAGCAAATGTCTCGAATGCAGTCTGCTTTTGGCCCCCGTTATTTATCCCTTATTTTTATTTCGGGTTTTATGTTTTATGGAACTCGGCAGTTCCTGGAATCAGAGAATCATACGGCGCAGAAGGAGGCCATTCGGCCCATCGTATCTGTGCTGGCTCTTTGAAAAGAGTTGTCCAAATCAATCCCTCTCCCACTCTCTCCCCATCGCCCTGCAAACTTGTCCTCTCCAAATAATTATCTCTCTGACAGAAAATTGGAACCAGATGTGGGCCGTTTGTTTGGACGTTCAATGCGGTTCACGTAGAAACTGGGTTAAAAGCAGAAGCCTTTACAGTATATAGCACTCCATGAACAAACCTTTATTGATAATAATCCCGGCATTTGACACAGCGCCTTATCACGTCTTCGAGGCGTCTCAAAACGCTTCACAGAATATGCCGTAAAGTGTAGTGCCTGTATATTTTGTCAGCGAAACACGGCAGCCAAGTTTCCTTACTGCCCCCCCCCTCCGCACACCCCCCACCACACACACACACACGCCTCTGTTTACCAGCAGTCAGTAGGAACCCGGTTGTTAGTTGATTGACCGATCGCTTTTCCGGGGGTAATAGTCCCTTCAAAAATAAAAATAAAACAATAATAATAATTATAATTTGGTCACTTAACCCACGGCTGTGTGTGGGGAGACGCTTTGAGACGTCTCGAAGACGTGACGAGGCGCTGGATCGAATGCGAGGATTATTATGAACGGACGAAGGCTGGAAGGGAGAGGGTTGTCAGGATCTGGGTGGTTGAGGGGGTGGGTGAGGGGGTGGGTGAGGGGGAGCTTAAGGCACCCACCGTTGAGCTAACTTAACCCAATTCGAAGCTCAGTGTTGTAAACGTGCCACATTCTCCGCTGGTTACACAATGGAACCCACGGGGAGTGGCTCGTGGCCAGCCATTAATCTGACAAACATTTGTAATGGGTTTTACACATCGGGAACTGGTTTGAAAGAGTCGCCTGGTGTGAGTTACACAAGTTGTTAGGCTGAGCGGCTCTCGCTCAGCCAGTCCGGGATGGTGACAGCATTTATGTTTATGCTTCGTAAATATTACCAGCTGCTGAGGCCGTTCAGTGAAGGCATCGCGTTGGTTTAAACAGCCAGCAGTTCTCGTCCTTCCTCCAGCAAGTCTTACCGTTCTGATTATAATAAAATAATAACAATAGTAATAATGATAATAATCCTTGCGTCCCATAGAGCGACTCCCAGCGTCTTCGAGACGTCTCAAAGCGCTTCACGGGACACGCTGTAAGGTGAATTCGCTATATGGGCGAAATTATCTTGGGATACAGTATTGGGTTTTCAGCCACTACGGCCCCATACTCTGGAACATTCTCGCTCTATCCCTTCCCCCCCCCCCCCACCCCACCATCTTCAGGTCGTGTCTGATGACCTTCCTCTTTGACCGGTGCAGGTTAAACAGCAGCTAACGTTGGGTGTGTTCCCACCGTACCAAAGCTTTCAGAGAACCCGGGTTCGATTCCCGGGCGGGTCAGGCCAGGGCGAAACATTGGGCAAGTTTCCTTACTCCCCCCCAACCACCACACACACACACACACACACACACACACACACGCGCGTCTCTGTTTACCGACAGTCAGTAGGAACCCGGTTGTTAGTCAAATGACTTTACAGTGTATCCTGTGAAGTGCTTTGAACATAGAACATAAGAACATAAGAATTAGGAGCAGGAGTCGGCCATTCGGCCCCTCCAGCCCTGCCCCGCCATTCAATAAGATCATGGCTGATCTATTCTAACTCCACCCGCCCGCCTTATCCCCATATCCCTTAATCCCTTTATCCACAAGAAATCTATCAATCTCAGTCTTGAATATGTTCAAGGACTCTACCCTTTGGGACAGAGAATTCCATAAATTCACAACCCTCTGAGTGAAGAAGTTTTTCCTCAACTCAGTACGAAAGGGTTTACCCCTAATTTTAAGACTGTGACCCCTGGTTACAGTTTCTCCAACCGGGGAAAATGTCTCCCATTCTGTCGTGCCCCTTAATAATCTTATAGGTTTCTATAAGATCACCTCTCATTCTTCTATATTCTAGAGAATATAGGCCTCAATTGCTCAACCTATTCTCATAACTCATCCCCCTCATCCCAGGTACCCACCCAGTGACTCTACGCTGTACCCCCCCCCAAGGCGAGTACACCCTTTCTTAAATAAGGAGACAAAACTGCACACAATCCTCTCGGTGCGGTCTCACCGGGGCCCTATACAGTTGCAGTAAGACTTCCCTACTCTTATATTCTCACCCTTTTGTAACAAATGCCGACATACCGTTAGGCATCCTAATCACTTGCTGTACCTGCAAACTTTTTGTGACTGGTGTACAAGGACACCCAAGTCCCTCTGAACGCTCACACTGTCGAGTCTCGCCCCTTCTAAAAAGTAATCTGCTCTACTGTTTTTGCCGCCGAGGTGGATGACTTCACACTACCCTACATTATTCTTCACCTATTTGCCCACCCCCCCGGCCTATCTATATCTCGTTGCATTTTTTTAATGTCATCCTCGGTGTTTACTCCCCCTCCTGGTTTCGTGTCATCCGCCACTTTGGATTTTTAAGTTCGATGAGACATCTCGAAGACGTGATAAGGCGCTGGATCAAATGCAAGGATTATTATCATTACTATAGATGACTGAATTCTGGAATGGACTGTAATGGAACCTCTCAGTTTATTGCACCCTCAGCTTTGACCCTCATAACACATTGCCTGGATATAAATTACCCCGTATTACATTTCAACTGACTTTAATATTTTAATTGCGCTGTGATTTTAAATGATGGGACTGAACGCGTGGTTTAATGAGCGATTTGGAATGTGACTGAACTTTAATTAACCTTCTGAGTGTTCTGCCTGCAAAGATCATTTCATTAGCGCCCACCAGGCATTTAGTTATTTATTAATGGTCCCAATGGTTATTTACTCTGAGATATTGAATGATTTATCCAAACATCAGTTCAACTTTATGTAACTTCATTTTAAGGGAAGATCAGTTTGCAAGCTCTGTAAGGCCGAGTTTCTGTGAAGAGCTTTGAGACGTCTATAACAAATGCAATAATAATCATCTTGCGCTTGATACAGAGCCTTATCGAGTCTTCGAGACGTCTCAAAGCGCTTCACGGGGGTAAGCGAGAAGGCGCTGTATCAAATACAAGGATTATTATTATCATTATAAATCAAACAACCGTGTCTTTTTCCCTCATTCAGACTTACTTCAATGAAAATATCCTGACCCTGATCCGCACATTGGTGACAGGTGGAGCAACACATGAGTTGGAAGAGCAGTTAGGGGATGAGGATGTGTTAAGAGGCGGCTCGGATATTGAGCACCACATGGTGAACAGGCAGAGGTGCAAGTTAGCCAGGATGACCCTGTGTGACAAACGGTTCAGAGAGTATGCGGTAAGTGGAGATCCCTGTAGCTCAGGGGGTTAGAGCCCTCGCCTCGCAAGCGAGACCCGGGTTCGATTCCCGGGCGGGTTAGGTCAGGGCGAAACATTGAGCAAGTTTCCTTACTCCCCCCCCCCCCACACACACACCTCTGTTTACCTAGCGGTAAGCAAGAACCCGGTTGGCGGCTGGCGTTTACGGGGGTAATAATGCCTTCAAAAAAAAGTAAATCCACGCCTGTTTGTGGGACGGACGCTGCTGGGCGCAATTGGCTGCCGCGTTTCGCCCACAAAATATACGGCCAATTCACTCCACCGTGTAACCTGGGAGTCGCAGAGCAGCGGCAGGAACAAAATAAAGAACACAAACGAAGCTAAGCCTCAGCAACAACAACAAAATTGAATCCTCCCACTGAGTCCTCCCAGAAGAATTCAGCAGGGCCTTGTAAACGTATAATATAAAAATAATAATCCTTGCATTTGATGTAGCGCCTTATCGGGTCATTATTATTGCATTATTATGTAGTCCTGTGTTATTCCTTCTGTAGGACAATGGGAACTATGGAGACCTGTTCTGTAAAGCTTTGAATGTTTATGGAATTCTTTGCTTTGGGCTTTTCCGCTTACAGAATTCCAAATTCGAGTCGAAGGCAAGGTAAATCAATCTCTCTCACACCGCTGTCCATGTCCGTTAACCAGCTATATTTGCCCCTCGGTTATCAGTGTGCGCGGTAGTGGAACGACTGATCTTACACCACGTTCTGCACTTAATAATAATTAAATTATTATCATTGAAGGTGGGAGGTGGGCGATAAACAGAGACTAACCATTCCCTTCCCTTCTCTCTCAATATTAGATACGTCATCACCAATCCACCAGGTAATTTCAAACTGAATAACACAGATTTTGTCATGTGCTCAGTGCCATACAAAGACATCATCACCATTGAAACCCCTACCTATTGCTGGAAGAACTATTCGGCCAAATTCATTACCAATCCCACCCATCACAGGAAGTCAATAACCTTTGTTCCTCCTGTAAGAGTCAGCCTTCCCGCGCAGGTGCAAAGCAGACCCCCATCGATAGAAAATAAGGTGTGAGCCCATTTTGTCGCCCGCAGGCCTCTCCGCAGACCTGACTGTAAAGGTTTAGCAATAAAGTTGTTCTCAAGACGACTTGGCGTGTTTTCTTTGTGTAAATCCCGTGAAGCGCTTTGAGACGTCTCAAACTCTCTGCCCCCCCCACCCGACAACACCTAACCTTTTGGAACTCCATTCCACAATCCCTCCGTCCCCTCTTCTTCGACCGCTCCTTTGGTCACCCTCTTAGCCCCCCCACCCTCCCCGACCTCCACCCTCTCCTGATGCCAACCCCCAGCTCGGGTCCAAATTCCCTGACTGTCCAGTGCCTTGGGACGTCCTCCTGACCTGAAACATCCTGTGAGGTGTTGTTGTGATGAGGCGCTATATTAAATGGAAGGATTAATATTTTTTGTGGGCGATAGAGGGAGCTCTGAGCTGCCTCAGGAATGTTCAAAGCGCTTTAATTTTTCCTCTCTGACATTTGTCCTCCTCTGCTGGAACCACAAAACTATAATATAGCAACAACAATAATCCTCGCATTTCATACAGCGCCTTATCCCGTCTTCGTGACGTCTCAAAGTGCTTCACAGGACACACTGTTAAGTGCAGTGACGGGGAATCAAACCCAGGTCCTCTCGCTTGCGAGGCGAGGGCTCTAATCACTGAGATACAGGGCTGCGCTGGTCAGTGTGTGTGTGTGTGAAGGTGCGGGGAGCTGTCACACAGTGCTGGCACGCCATGAGTGATAGGGATTAGTGTTACACTTCAGTCTCTGACAGCGGGAAATGAACTGCAGCTGGTGATACTTCCTGAGGGGGTGAGGAAAAACCTTGTTCTCCAGCTCACAGTAACAACGCCACGCAGCCAGAAACCATCAGACAGATCCATTGCGGAGTTCCCTGTAGCTCAGGGTCAGAGCCCTCGCCTCGCAAGCGAGAGAGGACCTGGGGTTCGATTCCCGGGTAGGTCAGGTCAGGGAGAGACATTGGGCAAGTTTTCCTTACTCCACACACACGCACACACACACACGCACCTCTGTTTACCGGCAGTCAGTAGGAACCCGGTTGTTAGTCGATTGGCGGACGGCTTTTCCGGGGGTAATAATCCCTTCAAAATAAATATACAAAATAATAATAATTTGGGCGCTCAATCCACGGCTGTTTGTGGGGACGCCGCTGAGCGCAATTGCCCACAAAACACACAGTCGCTCCACTTTACAGTGTATCCCGTAAAGCGCTTTGAGACGTCTCGACGGCGTGATGAGGCGCTGGATCGAACGCGAGGATTATTATTGGCGTTACTTTACGCCCTTCAAATCACATCAAATCTGAGCCGGATCCAGCCCTCAATGTAGAGCCTAACCCAAGCATTATCTGAGTGTCTCAGTGTCCGACAGACTTAGCCGCTGGAAGCCACAAACCAAACCAAACTCGAGGTCCTGCCAGCGGGAATTCAATACCATCACGTCTGTGTTCTTCGAACATCAACAACTGGAACCTTTTCCTTTTCCATCAAAGCCCCTGTGGAAAATGTGAGCCTTGCAAACTCCTGACAGCGTAATTGACGTCTAACTGCAAGCAGAAGTGGCTAAAGGGGATGATTGATGCGTTCCTCACACAGGACCTTTGAAAGAAAATCTGGCTCGAAGCTGCCCTTGAATGACTGCTTTGCCACCTGATCGCTCTGCAAGGTCGTGTGATTTATTTCGCTCCAGATAAATGTCTCCGTTTAGTAATTGTAGTGGACTCCTTGCGACACGACAAGGCAGCTCCTGATGTGTGATGGTGCGCATGTTCCGAGGTGACACCCAGCGCTCCCCAACCCATCACAAACGATATTAATAATCATGCTTGCGTCTGACAGAACTCCTTATCAAAGCGCTTCGCAGGATATACTGTCAAGTGAACTGGTTGTATATTTCCTGGGCAAATGCGCCAACCAATTGCGCACAGCAGCGTCCCCACAACAGTCGTAGATTGAGTGACTAAATTATTATTAATTTATTAATTTTTTAAGGGATTATTAAGGGAAAGCGATCCGCCAATCGACTAACAACCGGGTTCCTACTGATTGCTGAGTAAACGGAGGCGCGTGTGTGGAGTAAGGAAACTTTAGCTAAGGTTTTGCTGGGAATCGGACCCAGGTCCTCTCGCTTGCGAGGCGAGTGCTCTAACCACCGAGCTACAGGGACTCCGTAACTGAGCTTCAGTTAATCACCAGAAAGCCAATGCTCTCGAAGAGACTCCAAACCCCAGGCTCGCGAGTTCATGTTCCTCACTGCTAATGCCACAAGGCATTTGTGATTGGGTAATTATAGTGATGAATAAAGAGTTTCTTTCCTTTGTAAAATTACAATTCACCAAATTTTCCCCGAAAACCAGACATTCGTCACTAAGAGCAACGTGAATTTTTGGGGGGAAGGTCCTGGCAGCTTTGGTTTCGCCTTCCGGTTTGGCTCGGGAAAGGGGGACCTCTTTCGAGAGGACCCAAATAGCGAAAGGCAACTGGGAGGCAGATGGAAGGATTGACGGAAGGATTTTGAAACCGTGCACCAAGACACAACTACTGGGTTTTCATTTGCTGTCAATATCTGTTGTCGTCGCTCTCCGCAACCCGGCACGCAAACTGTTGGACATAAGTAATGTGCAGGATTTCTAACACTCTTCCCTCCCTGTCCCCTACATCTTCATTGCGCCCGAACCAACACTCCATCTCACTCTTTACCAAAGACTTCAATCGCTATGGAATTGGCTGACACAGCGCCTTCTCATGTTTTCGAGACGTCTCAAAGCCCTTCACAGGATATGCTGTAAAGTGTAGTGACTGTATATTTTGTGGGCAAAACGCGGCAGCCAATTGAGCGACCAATTTATTATTATTATTTTTGGGTGGGTGGGGGTTGGCTTATTACCCCCAGAAAAGCGACTAACAACCAGGTTCCTACTTACTGCTGGTGAACAGAGGCGTGTGTGTGTGTGTGTGTGTGTGCGTGTGTGCGTATCTCTGTCTCTGTGTGTGTGTGTGTGGAGTAAGGAAACTTGGCCAATGTTTCGCCCTGACCTGACCCGCCCGGGAATCGAACCCGGGTCCTCTCGCTTGCGAGGCGAGGCCTCCAACCCCTGAGCTACCGGCCTCCACATTTCTCGTTGTTGGGTGAAAGGTCCGTGGAAATGAATGTAAAAAACAGTTCGTATTTGTATAGAGCCATAAAAAAAACACGGCCTGCAAAGAGGGAGAGGAAATGGGGCTCAGGCATTCGCCAGGATTTGCAAGGCTCAGTCCTACGCTTCTCAATGCCACAATGTTAGTACTTTACATTTACATTTACCACCATAATGACGGGATCAATAGTTATATCACCAAGTAACTCAACCAGAATTAGTATGTCAGCAATCTGCTCCGAGGGAGAAAAGTGAGACCCATTTATCAGCCGGGAGCTGTCAAACTCTGCCTGGTTTTATCAGATGAGCTGCTTCCTTGGCAGGATTTGTTGATTTACATCATGCCAAACCCTTTGTACTGGGAACACAGTTAAATAGTACACTGTCTTCATAAGATTAAAAAGGCATCTTCATTCATCACTTACTTTCCAGGTGATTGAAGTAACAGCAGCACTGCTGGAAGCTCTTTCGTCTTTAGAGCCGCAAAACGCACAGTCACTACGTTTTCCGTTACGTCCTGCCAAGCGCTTTGAGACGTCTCGAGGACGTGATAAGGCGCGGTATCAAATCGAAGATTATTATTGCTACAGACTGGAATCTCTTTAGTCCTTTCAGCAACTAAAGAGGATTAGAGCCACCAAACGTCAGATTACCACAGGAGTCAGGCAGGCAGGTACGAGAGCCTTTAAACCCCTCTCAACCCCCACTTTATAGCATCAGCTCAAATATTCATTCGACTCCCAACACGACAATAAACAGCCTTTCGCATGTCTCCGCTCCACTCGCCTCTGCTTTCTTCCACTCACAGTCGCTAGCGACAAAGGCCCATCGACACAGAACATTTGTTGACGAGACACTTTAATTACTGGAAGGGGTGCAAGAACTTGCAACCATCTGCCAGACACCTAAATGGCCACTCTGCTGACGGAGCAGGTATCAGTGGAGTCCTGTGGCTCAGTGGTTAGACCACTCGCCTCGCAAGTGAGAGGACCTGGGCTCGATTCCCCATCGGGGTGAAACCTTAGGCAAGTTTCCTTACTCCACACACACGCCTCTGTTTACCCGTGTCAGTCGGAGCCCGGTTGTTGGTCGATTGACGGATCGCTTTCTGGGGGCAATATTCCTGTGATACAATAATAATAAATTGGTCACTCGATCCACGGCTGTTTGTGGGGACGTCGCTGAGTGCAATGGCTGCCTCGTTTCGCCTATAATATTTAATATTTGATATAGCTCCTTATCACGTCTCAGAGACGTCCCACAGCACTTCGCAGGATACACTGTGCAGTGAATTGGCGGTGTATTTTGTGGGCGAAACGCGGCAGCCGATTGCGCACAGCAGAGTCCATACAAACAGCCGTGGGTTGATGTGGCCAAATTATTATTTTTCTGAAGGGGTTATTACCCCCGGAAAAGCGATCCGCCAATCGACTAACAACCGGGTTCTTACTGACTGCCGGTAAACAGAGGCGCGTGTGCGTGTGCGTGTGTGTGCGTGTGTGGAGTAAGGAAACTTGCCCAAAGTTTCTCCCTGACCGGCCCGGGAATCAAACCCGGGGTCCTCCTCTCGCTTCTGATGCGAGGGCTCTAACCGCTGAGCTACATAACAGACAAACGGCTGTTAAATGTAACTGGTTCCTGACTGTGGGAGTGACGGCTGTCCTTTTACTCACCCGGTCCTGTGACTCACCGCCTTGACTCACAATGCCTTCTCTGTTCGCGAAACGTGCGGTCGCCTGTTCGGATTGCGAAACAGCGCGCGGCGACTTGGGGAGGAAGGGCGGGGAGCGAGGGAGAAGCTTCGACTGGGGATTTGCTGCAAGCTCCTGTTAGCTCCGCTCTGATATTGCCAAACTTCAGCTTGACATACCTGTCGCCCTGCAGCGAGACACGGAATGTGCTGTTTACATAAGCAACCGCGCGAGACAC